GCACATACCCCCCTGCATGACACACATGTGCTCTCGTGCGCCACCCCCTCGCAGGGCCCACAGCTCACCCCTGCAGCAGCGGTGGCCATGGGGCACTTGGGGCCTGCTGCAGCCAGAGCCCCCAGCAGCATGGCGTGGCCCCGATCGCCTCAGAGCTGGCACTGCTTGTGTCACCTGTCACGGGGCTGGTGCAGTGCGACATGGGGCCACTTGGGGTGTCCCACAAGGCCTGGTGCCACTTGTGAGTACCACGTCCTGTGCTGGGCCGGGTCCATGGAACTGGCCCAGCTGGCTGGTGCACAGGGCCTATGGAGGCAGGACACGTGGTCCCTGCGAGCGGTGCCAGCCCCTTGGTGACAGCCCGAGTGGCCCCAGTGTCGCCTGAAGCCGCATAGCCCCGTGCCAAGCTGGGCCAGTCCCACGACTGGTGACACAAGCGGCATCGGCTCTGAGGTGATCGAGGGCATACCGCGCTGCTGGGGGCTCTGGTCGCAGTGGACCCTGAGCGCCCCATGGCTGCTGCTGCTGTGGGAGAGGCAGGGGAGGGCTGTGGGCCCTGCGGGGGACCCACATCCCCAACCAGCACCCCCCACCCCCCCGGTCCCTACTTGGGATAGCACCCAGGCCACAGCCATACACCTCTTCTGTTTGCCCCAGCATGTGAATGTAGCGTGCTAGGGCAGCAGGGGGCACCATAGAGATGCTCTGGCTGGATGCCAGAGTGTCTCTGGAGGTCCCAGCTCCAGCTTGCCTTAGGGCACGGTGGGGAACTGTGCCCTGCACTGATTTTGTCTGCGGTGTTTTTATTTGAGACCTGGAAATCCAGGTATCAGTTTTTGAGCCCGTGCTGCTCCAGGGGCAGCTCCAGGCAGCTTCAAGTTTGGAGCTTAGTCCAGGGGGCAGTAAATTCATGCACTTGAATTGCCCATGTAGATGCCGTGTGCCCTCTGTGTGTTTAGAAATCACAATACATTTTATTCATGCCTTCTCTTCACTCTGAAAGAATATTACTATCGCAGTTGAAGGGACATCTGAGTGGTGCTGAAGGCTGCCCTACTGCTGTGCAAACTCCTGAACATGAATTGTTTGTTTCTGGCAAAACATGCCAATTTGATTGATAGACAAAAGGTCTGAAAGCAGTCCTGATCTGTACTGTGTTCTCATGTTTTGTGGGGTTGAGAGGAAAATGAACATATATTATTTCACAGAAAAAAGAGATTGTGGTCTATTTTGAGTATCATATAAAATAACTGGACACATTCTTTGAGCTTAGCTTTCTGCTGGGGGCAGGGTGGAGGTGGAGGGGAGGGCATGGTGAGAGAAAAGCATTCCTGGAGGGGATTAATTTTGAGGTGACTCAAACAGACATTTTGATCCCTTCCATCTGCAGGTTGGCTTGTTTTAGCTTGTTAATATATGGATAGCAAATTCCCTTTTCCCTTTTATGTTTGGAAAATTGCTCATAGCCCACACATGACTCTGTAATTGGGAGAGATTGTTCATTCTTGCCTGCAGGAAGGCATTTCTGTTTCTGCTGAGCTTGAGTTCCAAACCATAGAGAGGGGGTAGGCAGGAAAAATGTCAGGTAGAACAGCAAAACTGCCCACTTGGCAATTCAGTGGTTATTTTAGAACAAATGCAAGATGTTCATTGCAGTTGGATCCTTGTGTGTTGCATAGTAGGTCAGACCTAAATTCTGTAGTAGTTTCATCAACCCCTCATTTTGTAGTAGTGGAGTATTCTATAGAATATTAATATTTTGGTAGTGGCCTGGAGTAAATTGTAGAGATGCACCAATACATTGATCTGATATCGGATCAGTACTGACATAAAGAAAATTGGCTGTATTGGAAATCAACCTGACGCGGCTGATAATTTGGCTGATAAATGCTCGTGTGAGCATACAGCCACAGCACAGCATGCAGGCAGCAAGGAGCACAGCCTGGCAGTGTGGAGAGCTGCATGCAGCTGGTAAGTCTGGTGTGGCTGGGTTGTTCTCTGCGGGGGCGAGGGCTGGGCTTCGGACAGGGCCCACAGAGTGGGCTACAGCCACACTACATTTTGCCATAGCCCCACTTCCAGCACCACTGCATGCCCAGCACAGCTCTGGCTCTTCCCAGTGTGTGGGTGGAGGCGAGACATTGAGCTGGGGCTGCGCTGGGCACGTGGGGGCAGCAGCAATGGGAGTGGGGCTGCAGTGAAATTTGGGGTGGCTGTAGTCCCCCCCATAGCCCCCACCCTGAGCCCGTCCCCTATCGAGAAAAGCCCGGCACAGCCCTGGCTCCAGCCTGCAGTGGGCAGCTCCTGCCCCCTCCCTCACCGTGGGTGGAATTGATCTGTCATGTTGTTCCCCCCCCCCACCCCCAAATGATCTTTCCTTCTCCCCCACTCCCCTTCCACCCGAATGGACTTGCGTGCAGCTGGCAGCTGTATCAGAAATCAGATTGACATCAGCCGATATGCTTCTTTAAAAATCAGCTATCGGTATCGCCCCCCAAAATCTCTATTGGTGCACCCCAAGTAAATTCAGGTAGCTTTTTAAATGTATTATATCAGCAGAAAGTACAAGGAAGAATATTTCTTAACTTGCTCTTAAGAACGAAGAAAGTCTAAGTTTTGTACCACTTTTATTGCAGTACAAAGGACTTTTAATGTTAAAAAGCTATTAATAATTGATACATACTTGCTCAAAAAGTGATATGAACCAGAATGAGGGCTCCTGTGAGGATGCACTGAAGAGCATTCAGCATCTGAAAATGTAAGTGTGTATTTCAGATGCTTCATTTTGAAGAGTGTAGCTTGAACCCTTTGGTTTTTTTGTCTGCCTTTTCTAAAAGGCTTTGACATTTGTAAATGACAAAGACATATTACAAATAACAATAACAGCTGGGTTATTGCTCTGGTACTTGTTTTAACTTGAATTTGCCAAAACTATCAGGTGCCACAGATTTGGAGCCTGTTACATTGTTGTTAAATAATTAAGATTAGCTCAATTAAAAAACATACTATTTATCTTTTCTTTCTTTTTTTTACTGTGGTGTGTTGTTTATACATCTCAGTTTTAGCAGCTTGAGGGACTTCATTTAGTTTTGAATGTTGGAAGTGTTTCTTTGGTTATTAAAGGTAATTTAGAACTATTGCAGTGATAGACCAAATACTCTGGCCTTATTCCAGTGTGAGTAATTGCACTCAGTCTATCTAAACATTCCATGTAGTTTCAATTAGACACAGCATTGTTCTCTTTACTCTCTACTAAAACCACTTTTGTAGAGTTGCTGGCTCCATGTGGCTTGTGCTAGGGTCTAGTACAAAGGGGTACAAGAAACATTCATCTTTCAAGCCATTTTAGGAGGGACTCCCACTCTTAACAAAGGTTTAAACTGTACTTGTACAGTATGGCTCTCTGTCGCCCTCTGATAGCAGTGCATCTTACTTAGATTTACAAGCCTGCTGTGCCCCCGGAGCAATGAAATAGGTTTTTCATTTGAGGCAGTAGAGCGTATGTTTTTGGGGACTTGTATGTTTACTCTCAACAGATGTTCTAGCATAATTAGAAATGTGAGAACCCACTGATTTTAAATGAAAGGTGTAATTTTATTTTTTTTGATCAGATTTATGTTTCTACATTGTCCATGTTACCTTGTAGCTATTGCTCTTATAGATACTAGTGGACAAAGAAAGACTTCCTAAGTAGAAACCAAACAGACTTTGCTTAAATATTTAATGAAAGAGTTACTGTTCAAAATAAAGGTGAAACAGCTGTATATTTTTCAGCTTCTGCCAGTCTTTTTCAAGGACATTATATGCTTTCCTACATTCTTTGAAGTGAAATTGCCACAGCATTTTTGCCTCCAAATTTCCTTTTCTGTGATACTTAAGTTACTGGAAATTCATGTCAAGTATTTAATGAAAACAAACTATCTTGTTGGGTTTAGGTTATCAAATGTTTACTCTTCACTTGTATCGGCAGAAGTGCAGGTCCCACTGGTTTCACTCGCACACTCCATTGGTTTATGTGCAAGTTGGAAAGGACCTGGTGTATTATTATACATAACCAGCTGTGCTTCCAAAAGTAAAGTTTGTGAGAAAAAAATTAATAAATAAAACCAAGTAGAAATCCTTCAGAGATGATGTGTGTCTGGGATTTATCTCCTCTAAGGAAAAATAAATTTTTGGATTTTTAACAGGTTCACAGGAAAAATACATTGCTGTATGCACACATGGTTGTGGGCCTGGAAAACTCCAGTGCTCATATTTGCAAATTTATCCCCAGAGTACAGTAATCCAGTTCTTGGTTTAACTTGCAAACAACTATAGAAACAGTATGTTTCAGGAGTTCATTTAAAAAAAATAAATATCAAGGCCTCTACCTCTCTTTGCCCCCAAATGACTTCTCTTTGAATTCCTCTAGAATTGATTTACTGTTTATGCTGTCATCAGTCCATTGCTGCAGAAGTGACTTCTTAATTATGCTCTCTGCAATCCTCTTTTTGGTCATGCATAACTACACCATGGGAAGCGTGTAGAAGGTTACGTACAATGTAGGAATCTAGGTTGTCCACAACTAATGAAAATGTATGGACAAAATTTGGAGTCTCTTCTTTGCTAAATTGTTGTTTATTGCATTGCTAATGAAACATCTTGATTTTGATCTAATTATGTAGTCCAAATTCCAATAAGCCTATAAAGAAAAAGTTTCCTTGTAAGTTGAGACAAAATTAAGTAATCGCAATTAGGACTGCAAATGGAAAACTGAAAACTAGAATCCATAATAACAATGAACCTTTCTGAAGTTTTGGGGAAAATCCTTGTTATGCGCTCACTGATACTAGGAGCTTTCTTAGGGCATACCCACGTGGCCGATTTGGGGTTAAATATTATTTCTGAAATCCAGTTGTAATGAAAAAAACATAATTTTTAATAGCGTTGAAATATTTTTGGAATTTGCCCTGTCAGTTAGTAATGTTTCACTAATTGAAACAACCCTTTGTTTAAACCAGGTTGACAAGAGTTCGTCTGGAGGACTGGCTGGAGGAAGAGCTGAGGTATGTTCATTCTTCAGCAAACCTATGTATCTTATGCAGTGTTCTCTCTTAAGTAATGCTTTAAACCTGGAGTAAGGTAATCTTATTTTACTGCCTCAGAGTCACGTGTGTAATGAAAATGAAGCAATAAGGAGAGAAAAAGCACATAAGCCTGAAGCTTTTATGAGTGGAAGGCAGTGGGTTTGTTCAGCTGGTAAAATTAATGTGCGTTTGGGGTGGGAGAGTGGGGTCTGGATGGGCAGGGGCTGGCTGAGGCCAAAAGGTGTATAGTCACTCAGGAGCAGATCCAAGGCGGACGTGATGGTGTGGTCTGATCCCAGCTTTGCCTTCAGCTTGCTGCCAGCAGCGCTGGTCTTGACTACTGGACACATGCTTAGTAGGCTCTTCCCTGCTGCTGCACCTGTCTTTTTGGCATCCTGGATCTACTATTAGGGTCACCTGCTCTGGGGTGCATGTACTTGCTATGTCTGCAAGTTGTTCAGAAGCACAGTCAGCTCTTTCAATGCCTGGGACAGTAGAGAGCAGAGGCAGGAAGCACAGAAGAAAGAGGGAGAGGAACCTTACCTGCCCCAAAGGGACTCTTGCCTGCCTGTACACAAATGCCAGGAGCTTGGGAATAAGCAGGAGGAACTCATTCTCCTGCTAAACGCAAATAATTATGACGTCATAGGGATAACGGAGACCTGGTGGGACTCCACCCAGGACTGGACCACGAGTATAGATGGCCCTGTACATGAGGGATTGAGTAGATAAAAGGGGCAGGGGTGTAGCTTTCTATGTTAAGGAAAGCTACGTGTCCCTGTAAGCTGATGTTGGTGACCAGGGTGGACGACTGGAGACCCTCTGGGTTAAAATCCGTGGGGAACACGGCACAGGGGACACAACAGTAGGAGTCTACTATATACCTCCCACCCAAAGTCAAGAGCTTGACCAGGAGTGTGCCCGGGAACTGGCTGAGGCTGCATGCTCCAGGACCATGGTTGTCATGGGTGACTTCAGTTACCCAGACATCTCGTGGGAAGATCACTCAGCAAAATCCGAGCAGTCGCAAAGCTTCCTATCATGCGTGAATGACCTCTACCTGACTCAAGAAGTCTACAGGCCAATGAGAGGTAAAGCACTGCTCGACCTGGTACTGGCTACTGGTGATAACCTAATTGGCGACCTAGTGATTGATGGGAAACTGGGTGACAGTGACCACGAGCTGATCACCTTCACCATCCGCTGTAAAGCTGGCAAGTCAGTCAGCAACACTGAAGTCTTTGACTTCAGGAAAGCCAACTTTGACAAGCTGAGGAGGCTTGTCAGTGAGGCCCTAAGGGACCACGACCCCAGGGGGAGGGGAGTTCAGGAAGAGTGGTTGCTCCTCAAGGGAGCGATCCTCA